TCTTGCAAGCTGCCGACTATTCGCTGTGTTTTGAGTGTCAAGGCTGACCAAAAGACTGAATCTGTGTGTGAGTTCCTATCCTCGAAACGAGTCGTGCTCTCTCACGCTTTCGAAACTGAGGCTCGAACGAATCCATCACCGATTTACAATCGAGAGTAAGGGGATAGACAGAGATGAAATGTGCTTGACATTTACAATGGCTGTCAGTTACGATACGATTAGCGGTCTTAACGCTTTCGTACTCGGCGTATCAGCGAATGGTCTTAGCTTGGGACGTTCACCTCCCGCCTATTTGTCCTGCTGCATCCTCTTATCTTGCTAACACATCCTCATAACCGGTCCTTAGAGCGCGCGTTGATCGTCCGAGCGAACGCCTTGGGTGACGAATTAGCGGCTATGAAAAATCACGATTGCGCTAATAAATTTGTATCACCGGGGTTAAACCGAATATACTACTTTCTTTAATTTACATTGTTCGTATGATGGTAAGAACGTGCTGGCAATGGAAATACACTTGTACAGGGTGATTTGTAAATGCATGTCAGCAGTTCGAAAAATAGATGATTAATTAAATATCAATAAATCTATAATATTAATTTAAAAAAAAAATAGTATACGGAATATGCGAGCTTTGTTCAACTCGATTTTGCACACAAAGTTCCTAATTTCATTAATTAGACACGCAATTAACAAGGGACCTTGTTTCATAACTCTGGCTGGTATGCACTACACATAAAGAGTTAATCACTCGAGTAGCTCGAAAACTAAAGCACGCACGCAAAGCGTATATTTGTCTCTTTTATTAGCACGTAGATTTGCCCTCTAAAGTATTGATGATACGCGTTTGTAAATCACCCTGTATGCGTACGTACGCAAAACGAATGACGCGAGAAAACTTATTATGCATATAGTTACACGGTCGGAAGGATTCAGCGGATTTTCTCACGCGACGGAACATCAAGACGGGTTTGTTCTTCCTTGACTATCACACTCGCAGCGATTTCTCTTCTTTTTAATCGCAGCGTATGTGTCCTCCGCTCGTACGTCCTTGGACAGAAGAACGCACGATCGATAGTACGCAATCGTCGATAACCTCTTTGATTAGGAAGAATTCAACAAGAAAGAGCCAGACGGCGCCAGCCATTGGCGGAGAAAAAGCGATCGTGTGAGGCGTTCTAATGCTCGGGCAACAAGCCTGCACATTTCTAGATGAGCACGGCCGTTCCGCTCGCGTTCGATCGATGTTGACAGTTATACGAATGCCCACGATCGCGTGGATCGTGGGATCGATTAAAAGATTTTTGCCGGTTGCAAACAACTCGCGTCGTAAAAATATCGAGGATTCCGATCGAAGAAATGCACTGTAATACGCTGGCTACGCTGTCCCCCTTTGCTGGAAATATCCTGTTTGCCGTTTTCGAAACGAGAGGAAAGTGGAGCTTTAACGTTTCACGCAATCTTTGTTGCTCTTCGCTCAATTTCATTCGCTACCTCGTAATAAATGTGTGATATAATTTCACAGAGTATTCAAAGCATGTTTTTAGCAACAATGCATCAGCAACAGTTGTTAAAATGTATGAATTAGTGAGGCTGGAAGCAACGCTTATTGCCCAGTTACAGGATCAATCAGTAATGAATTTTATATAAAATAAATAGTAACAAAAATTAACAAATAAAGTCAAAGCAACAATAGGTATATTATTTTGATAAATCGATAAAACAGTGGTAAACAGAATTGACAGTGTTCTAAAGTTCAACAGATTAAATTTATTCATGGATCTGTATCTATAAAACTTGTCATATTTTAAAATTATACGAGTTTATAAATTTATCGAATTACAATTTCATTGGAAAATTGCATATCTATCACTCGTTTTGTGGTGGAAATCTATCGATGATTTTCTAATTAAATCTTTCATTAAAAGACAAGCAAACGTGGACAGAATGTTTAAACAATACTGCTCGTGAAAAATGTATAACCAGGCAACGATGCACGAGCGGAATTTCCAAGAGTATCATTTGATTTTACCTGGCCAACTGGCTGCCATTAAATATACCAGCTACGTGTATGTAGTTTGCTCTCATTAAGCGAGAGAACGTTTATACCAGTATACCTGGAAGATTTTAGAAGCCGTTAATATCGGTGTAATTAAAGCAATTATCGAAACACCGAGTTTTTAACACACAACGAAGATCGCTGAGACGAGAGTACAAGCAGATGGGTATTGCGACTATTATGTCGTGAGAAACTATGCGATTAATTTCCTGCTCCGCGAGTTGCCGGCGCTACCGGCGTGCGTAACTTGCAGTAGCAAGAACCACGTAAACGCGTACACGTCACTGTTGATGTTTCCACCAAAGACAAATCAGCGAGGCATCCGGTTTTCAAACTTCCGTCAGTGGCAAAGCTTGCCACTTAATTAAAAACCTTGAAAATTTCTGACGTTACCTGTCGACAACAATGACCAACTGAAGATTTTAATGTAAGATGTAATGATTGGAACTTGTTTCCAGTGCCCAATGATCGAAATAATACTAAACACATTAGATATTTTCAAGAAAGATGTGAACTGGCTGAGGACCAAAAGTTTTATGAAAAAAAAATCAAAAAAAGAAGGGAGAAATAGGTGACTTTGGTTAGCTCTTCGTAAAATAAATCCTTAATTAATTGACATCGATCACTTAATGTGTTGATTGTACGTCGCTGAAAACAATTACGTAATTTACTGTTAGATTTTTATCCACAGCAGAGACAATCATGCCTATCTTTATCTTTAATTTTTTTTTCTTTTTTTTTTTTTTTACGTTTCATTTACCACTTTATGCATGAGTAGATAACATGTTGAAGCTCATCGTTCTCATCGGAACGATTCTCGTCGCTTGCACCGTCAAGGCCGACTGGTGGTGTTTACAGCTGAAAGATAGATAGTTACTTGAAACTATTTAAGTAGTGCATTAGCTGCGATCGATGTTTCATTAAAAGCATCAGATTATG